CGTCAGTCAAATATTCTCAGGCTGTCAATGTTAAGCATACTACTAATACTACTACTAATATACTACTAAGTATGCCATGCAGATTATTGTACGAAATGGATGACAAGGAACCAATGAGAATGGTAAAGTATTATGGATATTTTTAAAATTGAACCGGTCACTTTGATCTGTTATGGTATACAGAATGCAGTTATTGACTAACACATTATTTGAGAAACAGTACCAGGACTATTGAAACTGCGTAAGCCAGATTAATGACATAGGGGAAACAGCTAAATATGGATCAATAGTAAGGTTAAAAAAATAATGTCTAAATGATAACTACAGTCAGATGAATGTGTCTACCAGAGAGAAAGTGAAAGCACTAGAATCCATGATGAACTCATTATGTCCTATTTGGAACTCGTCAGCTGGATATGCATGCAATCCCAAGTCAGTGATTGTTTTCTCACTGGGAAATGAACCTCACACCAATCGTTTCAAATGTCAAAGCGTTATTCACAAGAGCTACTTAGGTCATATCATTTTAGACTTCAGTCCTTACAAGGAGCTGACATGTCTGGCAACACAGTATAATCAATAGTCGCGAAATACAACGTTAACTAAAACACCTAATGGAAGGTATTAATTATGAAATAAAACAAACTGACAGTAGTAGGGTTACCCTAGCCATGGTAAGGCCAGTGAGGGTAGATATTGCTCTTGTGAACACAAAGGCCTCGTTTCAGGTGCCGAATAGATTTAGAGATGCCTCAATGATGTATCTGAAGTTATGTTGAGAGATAATGTGGATCTATGTGGATCACTTTGAAGCAGCCATACATAGCCGTCAGATATCTACAGATATTGGGAAAAGGCTTAAGGATAGTACTACTGATATTCTAAAATTCCCCGCTGGTTAGCCAGGTTAGAGAGTATTCTAGAACTGTGTATCTCTGATATGCTTTGCACCACAGGAAAAACACTAGTAAATGTACGACGAGGTATAACAGAAAGACAGTGGGATTATCTGTCTTCTGGAGAATGTGATTCTTAAGGTAGCAGCGTGAAACATCTGTCAAATATGGACACTGTAGTATTGATATGATTATGAGCAATAAAGAGTTGTGTTCGAAATTTAGTCATCCAGGAAATAATTCTGCTTCCCTGTTGGTGATTTATCTAATAAACAAATAGATATATAAAACTCCATACTACCACAGTGCCCAAGTTTGACGCTTATGCAATAATATTTTTAAATGCTTGGAAAGATGGTTTCTAATGATTTCAGCTTCAGCGTCACGGCGGAAATGAAACCTTTTGTGGTGGTGGTTTTTGTTTCATTTCAATGTCCTATATTTTTAATTTACTATCATTACATTAACTATTTTTATTTTATTATTGTTGCGTTTTATTCATAAAATTGCATTTCTCATTTAAAGTGTGCGGTCGTGGCGCAGAGGTGGAATACTTGCCAGCCACTCACGTGGTCCAGAGTTCGATCCCCGGCCGACACACTCCCAAAATTTGCTTAGCTGGTAATAAGCCAGGTAAAAAGGGAAGGTTAAGCGTAAGACTAGCAACCTCACCCCGTAAAAATAAAACCATTTCTACTGAAACTTCAAAGTCCTACTTTCAAGCCCTATGTTCCACTGGGAACGCAAAGGAATAAAATAATAATTAATATACATATAATCTCATTTAATGACATTTAAGCTTATTACATAATACCAGCCTATATTTTCTTATCCCCACTTGTGTATTCCCTTCTGGATTATGCCTCACTTTATGCACTATCTTTTCTGGAAAGTAATTTAACTGTATTTGATTTGTTCAAGAAATTATCTACTAAGTATGACTATGACTGTACAGCTTTTGAAACTGATTCGTTAGATAAGAACATTTTCTTCGCTGATACTTCATCTTCCTTTACAGTGGCTTAGCCTGGTGCAACATTCATTTTTTATGACTTCTGAAACGGCTAATACTTCGATTAGAAAGCCGTCGACAAGACGCTGAAAGCCTGATATGGTAGACTTCGTAGATCAGTAGAGGTTTTCCCGAAAGTCTTTGGCCAAGAAACACTTTAAACCGTTTGGATTCACGTGTACCACTAGTAATTCTGTATGACTCCAGGAGTCAACAGAATAAATTTATGGTATTTCAGTCCTCTGTTCATTCAGAAAGACGGCTTCTCAGACACTCAGGATGTGGAAGTTGTAAATGACACCGTTTGTCCTGTGGTTCCAAGAACACGTTAAACGAAATAATTTAGTAATTCTCATTGTAATGTGAAGAATAAAATAACCAGTGAAGTAAAGAAAGACTCAATTTATATTCAACGTGTTGTTCAAGTACTTTGGACCAATTTTTTCTATACTTTGCCCACCTGCTTGAATCATTCGACTATCTAAGACAGTGAATTGATGCATTATAGGTCAGACAAATATCACAGGAAATCGAAATCAGAAGAAATGAACACGGAGAAATTCAGCTGAAGTAGTAAAGCTTGAAAAATCATCAGCCATAGGTCGTCTACACTCCATAGAATCAGGCCAAAAATTTGATTGGAACAATATTGAAATCATCATCCAGAAAAATCTCAGAAATCACAGAGAACGTCTCACTTCATCATAAGTACTTCATATCAAATGGAATCCAAACAATCTGAATAGGAATGATGGACTAAAACAAAATTTAACCCGATTACAACACCCGTCTCTGTCCCCCGTGAAATGAAAAAATCAACGTGAATTAAGATAAGCAATTTCATTATGTAAACACACTCTGTGTTTATGATCGTATACACTTATCAAATCCAACAATCTGCACCTGTTTTTTTTATCTATTCAGCAATTGGCCAACTTGACAACGCAAAAATGACCCCATGCTGAAGAAGGATGATTAAGTTGTTATATATAAGCCGAGAGTTTGTAAATTCTGGTTTAATATTTCTACTTTGTGATAAAGCTATTAGTAGCATTAAATAGCGAAACGTCAGTAAAAACAACGATAGTATCGTTCATTGTTTTTCATTCATTGGGAAATACAAAAACCTTTATTATAATGAATATTTTCTCCGGTTCTTATTGTCTTAATCATTCATTTATGTCCTTGAGTAGCGAAATGTGCTTATATTGATTTTCAATTGGCTTTCAAACTACCAGTGAGTATTTCGCAGACATAAAGTAAAAATATGATAAGAGACTGGTCTATGCCTCAGATGTAAAATAATTGAGTCATATGTGCGTCGGTGGCACAGTGGTTAGGACTCTCGCCGACCATGCACATCGTCCGGGGTTCGAGCCCTCGCCGGCGCACACCTGATATCTATGGTCGGCCTGCAAAACTTGGGCTACCGATATCCATGCTGAAAATTGCATACTTGTGCCAAAAATACAGTGTTGAATCAAGCTGTAAATAAAAAATTAAAAAATAATAAAAAAAAATATGTCATAGACTGCTATTTTATTTGAAGATCCTGGAAGATGAGGAGAAAATGCTATGCACCGTAGACTGTATAAACTTTTTGACCAGAATAGAACTTTCTTCAGTTTTATAACTAAATATAAGAATTTCCGTTCACTTCAGTTGACGTCAGTCAATAATGACTGTATATTTATAGTTTTGATAATTCAAATAGAATTATGTAACTTGACAAAAATGGGCGGCAAATGTGCATTTTCTATCCTTTTCTCAATACAAGTAGGCATTTCATAAAACCATAGCACCAGGTCAACTAAAGACAAAGCACTGACTAGTTTTAGAGACAATGCATATTTCAAACAGCTTCTATGTCATTGTTTACCACTTACCACAGCTGGTAATTTAAATAATTCAATGAAGATATATTCTTACTGTTGATATTAAAATGCTAAAGCAATATCAGAGTGCTTACTCTCAAGTCTGTGTGGAGGTCAACAGCACTCAACATCAAAAATAAGACCCGAATTTTCAACTCCAATGTGAAGTTAGTGCTACTATATGGATCAGAGACTTGGCGCGTTATAAACAGCATCTCAAACATTATAATAAAGATTCTTGTATTTCCTAATGAATGAAAAACAATATCGTTTTGTTTTTCATTCATTGGGAAATAACAAAACCTTCATTATAATGAATATCATATACCAAATGCCCAAATTTTTTCAAACCGTTACAAGCATCTCAAACAAACTACAGACCTTCATTAACAGTTGTCTTCGCTCAATACCACTCAAGATCAGATGGCCGGCCAGAAAACATCAGCGATAGGGATCTCTAGGAGTGAGCCAACACAGCAGGAACCGATTGTGCAACAAGTATGCAGCAAGAAATGGAGATGGATTGACCATACGCTGAGGAAACCATCAAGTGACATCACTAGACAAGCCATTGCTCGAGTGGAACCCGAAAGGGAAGCGGCGAGTTGGTCGTCATTGCGAGGGTGACTTGGAGGAGGTCATGTGAAGAGGAGATGAAAGTATGTGGGAAGACGTGGCGGAGACAGGTGAAAACTCTAGCAGAGAATCGAACGCAGTGGAGACGCGCAGCTGAAGCCCTATGTTCCTCTAGGAATTAAAGGAAACAATAATAATAATACCAGAGAGCAGAATACCTAGTGTAATAGAATTGTATGATGCAGATTGAATGTATCAGTGAACCGAATCCAAAAATAAGTTTCATAAAGTTGGAGGTGAAAATGAAAGCTGTTGTGAGGTGTTTTTCGCGCATAGTTTTAAACGCACACCATGTTATATACTCCAGCTGTGTAAAAAACTTGATAAAACACCTTTTAAAACATCTAAATGTCACATAAATTCCAACTAATGCCTGCAGAAATTCAAATCATAAATGATCGCCACTGTTGTTTTACCTATTTAGGCATATTAAACCATAGCTCATCAAGTCTGTTTCACTGTACGTTATAAATACACAATCTAAAGTTGAATATCATTTGAAATAAATAATCAATAACGATCAATCAATAAAGCAGTCATAATAACAGTCTTAATAAAAAAAAGCAACCAATAATGACTTACTTCTCTTTACCAACTTTCCCATTGACTTCTATACAATCACCATATTGAAGAGTAGATGGTAATGAGAATTCAAATTTCATGTTTGTTAAAAACTTTTTTTCCGATTTCAAACTATTATATATATCAAATGATATTCTTTATTATGTATTTACGTCTAATTATGTATAATTTTTTAGCGTCTTAATTTAAATTTCCCTCTCAAATAATATTAAAACTTCACTGAATGCTTTAAGCAAGGTATCAAATGTGTAACTGCAGAAATTGAATATTGAATACTATTCAATTAGAAATCATAATACGATTTGTAGCAATGACAACGTTTTTAGGTGGTAGTGATAGAAAAACTGTTTGACAAGTGATGACAACTAATCATATTATCTGATGACAGACAGTACTTTTTCTTTCGTTTTGCGTTGAGAAAAACTTCAGAAGAGAACAAGCTTTTCAGAAGTGCTGATTCATTATTTTAGCTAAAGATTAGTATGAGTGAATATGTCCTTTGTGTGTGTGTGTTTGCGTGTTTGCGCTGTCTTATTCCATCCAAGCAGGCTTTGTTATTCACTTATAATGAGACACGTGGACATAAGCGATCACTCATACAGAGAAACTTCGGCATGGGTTTTTTTCATTGTCCACCCACATCTTGTGTATTTGTGTACATATTGACAACATATACAATATAGCATATACATATTTGCTAACAATACCTTTTACTCTGTAATATTATTCAGTAAGTATTTACAGTGGTGAACACGGACACACATATGCAACTAAAGAGGCACCTACACACACACACACACACACACACACACACACACACGCACAAGCACACATTTTAGACACAATAGTTTTGGTTGGTTCTTCTTTTTTGGCACCTATAATCGATCATTGGTTGTTAGATTCACTGGAATTGCACCAATAAGCAAGACAAACATTTCTACTGGTTACTCATATAGACTACTGCCACTGCCAGTCACTCAGGTAGTCAGTCTGTATTAACTAAACACAAATAGAATAAAAAAAACTTTTTTGATAACTCAAAATAATGATTGATGAATCGATTCTGGAGAAGAAAAAGGTCGACTAGTCCTGTCAAAAAAAAAACAACTTCTCTTCCGCAGTGTATCGTATTTTTTTTTATCAATTTGAAAAGACGTCATAAATGCTGGGTGTTGTAAAGCTTCCATAATGGGGAAAAATTTAATTTGATAAAGCCTCACAGTGTTGTTCTACAGTAATATTTATTGATGATCACCTTTCGAGCACAATTCATTACTACTGCTGATAATCATATCACATCAAGTCACTCACAAAACTTTCTGACTCCATTTGTATAACTGAGATCACCAATATCCTTAAACGTAGAAGATATCTAGATGGATAGCTGGGAAGATACGGCCCTTAATACATTTGTTTAATCCTACTCCACAAATATGGTTGAGATATGTGGATGATAGTTTCACAGTGTTCACACACATAAACTCAGAAATAAAGGGAAAAGAAATTCTCGTGTTAATCAGAAAATGAACAAGGAGAATTAGCAATGATGTTAAATTGTAAAATAAAGGTAAACTTCACACTACCATTAATAAAAAGCCAACACATTCTAATAGATATTTAGACTAACTCATTTCACGCGTTATCTATAGGTGTATGCTTAGTTTAATGTCTGAAAAACAGAGCAATAACACTAAGTAGTACAATAAAAAAAATAGGTAAATAATGAAATGGAACAGATACGAGAAGAAAAAGCGCTGGTGTTAAATAACTCACTGTCCTATAAAATTCATTAGGAAGATCAAAAACAGACAAAAGTAAGATAAAAGATAATGGTGAAACTAATAATAACAACACGAATAAGAAAGAATATTATAAGGTATCTACTGTGGTTTTACCAATATAAGGAGAGAACATCTGAGACCCTCCCTACGTAGGATTGTCAATAAATCACGAATTAGGCTGGCAGTTAAACCTACAGACTCACTCAGGTTGAACAAGCTTGGCAGGTAGATTAAACGACACTGTAGGTTGACCCAATTCAACAAAATAATATAACTCACAAAGTATCTTGCAATGAATGTGAGTTGGGTCAACTACATAGTGAAGCATTTCAGGAAACAACTCAGCAATTCCACTTCATGCATTAACACACAACCACACAATGGGGTGGTGGGACAGAGTTAAATTCTAAAAATTATTATAGGTAAGTGGTACAGGGAGAGGTTGATTACAGAGTCTTTCGTTGTTCATAGAATCTACACCAAACACATGCAATAGGAATGACTCTTGACTCATACCAGAGATGAACGAAATATTCCCATATTGAGTCATAAGAAAAAGGCACAAACAGCGAAGAAAATTTTCTTTTCGACGACTCATTTTCATGAGTTGTACACAATCGTAATTATAATTGACACAGGAATTTTTTGACCAATCAGATGCTGGTTAAACTTTGTCCATGAAAATTCTACTACATAATGTGAGGTGTAATCTAGAAGGGATGACTAATTGTCGTAAGTTAGAAGTTGGCATGACCTAATAATAAGCGTGAGATAATGACTAATCAATAAGCTAGTGTAGAACGGACAGGAACTAGTGGAAAGACTATAAAGTAGTTTTGTATAAGATCTGTGTGAAAAGCAATGTTATTAATAAACAGTAATAGAGTGGTAATTAAATATGGATGATGGGAATAATAATGATAATAAAATTATAACAGTGAACTTACATATTAAAAGAGAGGAGCAAAATTATAGTAAGAAATTTACTCTGGCCATGGTAGGGCCAGAGAATGTATGAATCGTTTTTGTATGCACAGGTCCGGTTTTAGGTCTCGAATAGCTAATGCCTCAGCTATGTACAGATGTCGTATCCGGAGTTTTTTTGTACAATATTGAGGGACTCTGTGTACCACTGTGAAGCATTCATGTGGAGGTGCTCGATGTCCGGAGATGACAAGGTGTTCGAGGATCGGGCTGTTGCTATTCTTCTTTTCTCCTTTGGCTAACCAAGCTGGGCAGTGTTCCAGGATACGTTTATGGACTTGACGTTGCGTACGGCCGATATACTTTGCTCCACACGAGTAAGTAAATTGATAAATACACACTGAAGTGGCCAAAAGCGGTATCTTATCCTTAAAGTTAGACTGGATTAACTGTCTGCAGGAAAATGTTATACGTAGAGTGGCTGTTTGGAATGTCTTCTTCAGACTTTTTGAAAGGCGGTTTCTGAGAATTTCCGCTGCGATATCACCTTTGAATTCTAGGTTCATGAAGAGAGTCTTCTTAGGAACCGTTGTGATGTTTGACACCAGAGGCTTCTCCTTCATGTTTTTGTCGATGAATATTGCTTGATACCCATTCTCTAGTAGGGTTTCACGCAATAAATTTAATTCCTTCTCTACCGTGTCTTCCGAGCAGATTTTTCTAATCCTTGAGCACAATGTAAGTACCAAATTTCTCCTTCGGATCAGTGGAACAAAGCTCTGGAAGTTGATAAACTGTCCAGTCCATGTTGGCTTATGATATATCAATTCTTGGATCGTACAGTCGTGTCTTCTCGTGAGTAGTACATCGAGGAATGGAAATGAATGAATCTTATTGATGGATTCGCTGAGTTGAAGGTTTTGAGGAGAGAATCTAAATCACATTTTTCATCACAGATTATAAACCTATCATCTATGTATCTCTTGTATAAGTGCAGTTCACTTATCAAGGGATCAAGGATGTTGTTTTCAAGACTCGCCAGAGATATGGAAAACATTACTACCAATCAAATCAAAAAAAATGAAAATCAATGGAATCATATAAATGAAGCTGTAAAGTTGTGTGAGTAACTTTATATCATATGATTATAAGCAGTAACAATAAAATGTGCTCGAAACGTGATCATCAGTAAATACTGCCATATAACAACACTGTGAGACTTTATCAAAATAAGTTTTTATCCACAATGAAATTTACACTCAATCACAGTGCATAAGTTCTATTCTTACATCATTGAAAGGCTTCCTCTAAAAACACAGTCTGTTAAAATCGTCAAGAGATATTAACCAGGAGGTAATACTACTGACATGCATGAGACCAAACAAATAGGCCAGCTAGTCAAAATATTTTTTACCGTAAAAACCTGATCAAGAATCTAAACTTCACCATAAATATGACTCACTTAGTGAATTTCAAAACAGGACCTTGTGCACATATGAAGCAATTCATGTTACCAAACTCCATAGTATCACACAAAGGTAGAGAAATGAGAGAAAATATAAGAAATTCGGAAGAACGATGATAAGCAGAGAGAAAAAGTGTATTAAGTGACATGGAAAAACGACACAGTTTACTTAATAGATATAGGAGATCACAAGAAATGAATGCATCTGCGCCATTGACAAGCAGGTTGAGCCATATCACCAATCGTCTCCAGCTATTGTTTCTTGAAATCCAAAGGATTCCAACAAGCCAGTTCACATCTGACTGCAGATATACTCAACCAATAATAACTAGTTGAAGCAATTTACGAAACTCTAGGGTAAGTTCTAGTGTAAAAAGACTGTTCTCGAGAGTATGATTACTTGTTGTTCATCGCTTTGATTCCAAGTGCAATGGAAGGTTGTAGAACAATAAACGTATCCTTCCTCACTCTACTGTCTGTTATCTTTTTCATCTGGCTCCATAATCGCTAGCTCACAAAACTCTGGTTTTCAGTTCATATCGCCTCCACCATGTTACCGTTGAATGCCCGTTCCAAAAAGAGTTGAGGAGACTGATGAAAATGAGAATTTATTACTTTGCTTTTCACTAAATTTCCCGAACAACTTATTAGTTTAATTCGAGCTAGTGAACTTTATAGGTGTGATCAAGTGAAACAACTGGTTTCAAATAAGAGTGAAGAACCAAAATACAGTAGATTTCTATTAACAATTCGTCTATATGATGGCTCTTCGCTCTATACTGAAGATCAGATGGCCGGGCCGGAGAGAATTACCAACAAGAAACTATACAAACAAACAAAACAAGAGCCAATCGCCCAACAAATATGCAGGAGAAAGTGGTGATGGATTGGACACTCGCTGAGAAGGCCG